ATGCAATCAATAAAACAAGGATTGTACATAGAACAATATTGGACCTCTGAAAAGTATAAGCATGCATATGTACTCAGTACTTGGTTTGGGCCCCTTTTGCAGCAATTACTGCCTCCATGCGGCATGGCATGGAAGCTATCAGCCTGTAGCACTGCTGAGGTGTTATGGAAGACCAATATGCTTCAATAGTGGCCTTCAGCTCTTCTGCATTGTTCGGTCTCATGTCTCTCATCTTTCTCTTGGCAATACCCCATAGATTCTCTATGGGGTTCAGGTCAGGCGAGTTGCTGGCCAATCAAGCACAGTAATCCCACGGTCATTGAACCAGGTTTTGGTGCTTTTGGAAGTGTGGGCAGGTGCCAGGTCCTGCTGGAAAATGAAGTCAGCATCCCATAAAGCTCGTCTGCGGAAGGAAGCATGAAGTGCTCCAAAATCTCCTGGTAGATGGCTGCGTTGACCCTGGACTTAATGAAGCACAGTGGACCAACACCAGCAGATGACATGGCTCCCCAAATCAACACAGACTGTGGAAACTTCACACTGGACTTCAAGCATCTTGCAGTGTGTGCCTCTCCATTCTTCCTCCATACTCTGGGTCCTTGGTTTCCAAATGAGATGCAAAAGTTGCTCTCATCAGAAAAGAGGACTTTGGACCACTGAGCAACAGACCAGGTCTGTTTTTCTTTAGCCCAGGTAAGATGCTTCTGATGTTTGTTGTTCAGGAGCTGCTTGACATATGACATTTGAAGCCATGTCCAGGATCAGTCTGTGTGTGGTGGCTCTTGATGCACTGACTCCAGCCTCAGTCCACTCCTTGTGAAAGTCCCCAACACTTTTGAATAGCCTTTTCCTGACAATCCTCTCCAGCCTGCGGTCATCCCTGCTGCTTGTGCACCTTTTTCTTCCACACTTTTCCCTTCCACATAACTTTCTATTAATGTGCTATGATACAGCACTTTGGGAACATCCAATGTCTTTTGCAATTACCTTTTGAGGCTTTCCCTCCTTATGGAGGGTGTCAATGATGGTTTTCTGCACAACTGTCAGGTCAGCAGTCTTTCCCATTATTATGATTCCTACTGAACCAGACTGAGAGACCATTTAAAGGCTCAGGAACCCTTTGCAGGTGTTATGGCTTAATTATCTGATTAGAGTGGGACACTTTGATCCTAGAATATTGCAGAATATTGCAGAATATTGCACCTTTTCACAATATTCTAATTTTCTGAGATTGTGGATTGGGGTTTTCATGAGCTGTAAGCCATAATCATCACAATTATTAAAAATCACGGCTTAAACGATCTTGCCTTGCATGTAATGAGTCTATCTCATATATTAGTTTCACCTTTTAAGTTGCATTACTAGAATAAATGAACGTTTGCATGATATTCTAATTTTTCGAGTTTCACCTGTATATACATACATACATATATATAAATACATATACACACACACATATATATATATATATATATATATATATATATATATATACACACACACACACACATACAGTTGCGCTCAAAAAACACACCGGTTAAAATGTAAATTATAGGTTAATGTCCCACATCTGTGGCTGTTTAAATTGCAATTAGTGTCAGTGTATAAATAGTCAATGAGTTTATTAGCTCTTACGTGGAAGCACTGACTAGGCTAGATACTGAGCCATGGGGATCAGAAAAGAACTGTCAAAAGTCCTGCGTAACAAGGTAATGGAACTTTATAAAGATGGAAAAGGACATATAAAGATGTCCAAAGCCTTGAATATGCCAATCAGTACTGTTAAATTACCTATTAAGAAGTGGAAAGTTTGGGGATCTCTTGATACCAAGCCAAGGTCAGGTAGACCAAGAAAGATTGTAGCCATTACTGACAGAAGAATTGTCTGGGATTCAAAGAAAAACCCACAGGCAACCTCAAAAGAAAAACAGACTGCTCTGGAAAATACGGTGATACTTGAACAAAAATGACCTGTTTGGTCGAAGTGCCAGAAAGAAGCCTTTACTGCACCAATGCCACAAAAAAGCCCAGTTACAATATGCCTGACAACACCATGACATGCCTAACCAGGCCTTTTTGTGTCATTGATGCAGTAAAGGCTTCTTTCTGCCACCTCGACCATGCAGCTCATTTTTGTTCAAGTGTCATCATATTGTGCTCCTTCAAAACAACCACACTGTCTTTTTCCAGAGCAGCCTGTATTTGTGGTTACCTATGGGTTTCCCTTTGTATCCCAAACAATTCTTCTGGCAGTTGTGGCTGCAATCTTGGTCTACCTGACCTTGGCTTGGTATCAAGGTATTTTTTGGCATGATCAGTCAATATCAATGCCACAATTTCACAATTTCTGCCAGGGTATGTAAACTTTTGAGCACAACTGTATATATATACACATACATATATATACACATACAGTGGGGATCGAAAGTTTGGGCACCCCAGCTAAAAATTTGTATTAATGTGAATAAGAAGACAAGGAACGATGGAAAAATCTCCAAAAGGCATCAAATTACAGATTAGACATTCTTATAATATGTCAACAAAAGTTAGATTTTATTTCCATCATTTACACTTTCAAAATAACAGAAAACAAAAAAATGGCGTCTGCAAAAGTTTGGGCACCCTGCAGAGTTAATATCTTGTACTGCCCCCTTTGGCAAGTATCACAGCTTGTAAACGCTTTTTGTAGCCAGCCAAGAGTCTTTCAATTCTTGTTTGAGGTATCTTTGCCCATTCTTCCTTACAAAAGTCTTCCAGTTCTTTGAGATTTCTGGGCTGTCTGTCACGCACTGCTCTTTTAAGGTCTATCCATAGATTTTCAATTATGTTGAGGTCAGGAGATTGTGAAGGCCATGGCAAAACCTTCAGTTTACGCCTCTTGATGTAATCCCCCGTGGATTTCGAGGTGTGTTTAGGATCATTATCCATTTGTAGAACCCATACTCTCTTTAACTTCAGCTTTTTCACAGATGGCATCAAGTTACCATCCAAAATTTGCTGAAATTTTTTTTGAATCCATTTTTCCTTCTACTCGTGAGATGTTCCCTGTGCCACTGGCTGCAACACAACCCCAAAGCATGATTGATCCAACCCCATGCTTAACAGTTGGACAGAGGTTCTTTTCATTAAATTCTGTGCCCCTTCTTCTCCAAACGTACCTTTGCTCATTCCGGCCAAAAAGTTCAATTTTAACCTCATCGGTCCACAGAACTTGTTTCCAAAATGCATCAGGCTTGTCTATATGTTCATTTGCAAAGTTCAAACGATGATTTTTTGTGGTGAGGACATAGAAGAGGTTTTCTTCTGATGACTCTTCCATGAAGACCATATTTGTACAAGTATCTCTTTATAGTGGAATAGTGTACCACAACTCCAGTGTCTGCCAGATCTTTCTGGAGGGATCGTGCAGTCAAACATGGGTTTTAAATTGTTTTTCTCACAATCCTGCGAGCTGTTCTGTCTGATATTTTTCTTGGTCTTCCAGATCTTGCTTTAACTTCCACTGTTCCTGATGACTGCCATTTCTTAATTACATTCCGAACAGAGGATATTGACATCTGAAAACGCTTTGCTATCTTCTTATAACCTTCTCCAGCTTTGTGAGCGTCAATTATTTTCAGTTTCAGTTTTCTAGACAACTGCTTAGAAGAACCCATGGTGCTGATTGTTGGGGCAAGGTCAGATGAGTCTGGGCATTTAAAACCTTTGAGATTGACATCACCTGGTCTTCCCAGATGATGATTGAGAACAATCCATGACACTGGCAGGTCTCAGCTTGGCAAAGGGGGCAGTGCATGCTATAAATTCTGCAGGGTGCCCAAACTTTTGCAGACCCAATTTTTTGTTTTCTGTTATTTTGAAAGTGTAAATGATGGAAATAAAATCTAACTTTTGTTGACATATTATAGGAATGTCTAATCTGTAATTTGATGTCTTTTGGAGATTTTTCCATCTTTTCGTGGCTTCTTTATGCACATTAATACAAATTTTTAGCTGGGGTGCCCAAACTTTCGATCCCCACTGTATATATATATATATATATATATATATATATATATATATATACACATATATATACACACGCACACATACATATATATATGTATAAACACACGCATACATATATATATATATATATATATATATATATATGTATTATATATATACATATACAGTACATACACACACAAAGACAACCCATTGACTGATGAACATACAAGGTAAATATAAATATAGTTCGAAATATGAATAAATAAATGTTTCATAAACAATACATTAAAATATCGAAATATGAATAACTAAATGTTTCAATATTAATTAAATAAATGTTTCAGAAGCAATAAAAGCAACCTGTTTGATATGACTGGGAATCTGCTCAAGTAGTAGGTCTGGCCGAAATTTGTAAAGGATCAAATTAAATGAGTCGACTTAATGATGGCATCAGTGAATGCTTTGATGAATGATTTCTCAGCGTTTAGTACAAACTTTTGACTGTAAATGTAACTGTGTATGGCTAGCTGAAGACGTCTCTATAATGACCACAAGAGATGTGTGGATTTGGGAGTTGGAGTTCAGGTGCCAAAATCTCACAACTGGAGTCCTCAGCCAATGGAAGAAGCCATTGCATTCCTTTATTCACTTGCATTATTATTATTATTGTATTGTATTATTATTGTAGGTGGTATGACAATCTAGGCTGCAGACTCAAAAGTTTTTCTATCTGTCTGTGCTATACCCTGTCTGTAAATAATTTAAATGATTGCAAGCCACACTATAGTGTTGCTCTGAAATGTAAAAATAATAAGCAGTTGAACTGTATGTAGTTGGAGAGCTCTTGACTAGTTTCAGGTTTATGAGAAATATATAATGCAACAAGTTCTTCTATATTAATATATCTCAGTTTAGAATGATTGACAAAGGTTATTCAAAACTATATTATAATGTATGAAGCCATATGGGGCTCATGAAGAACTTCCTGGTGATCACTAGGGTATAGATGATTACATGACTAATCTCAGACATTCAGAAACTTGTATACCTGGCCGGGCAGGAAGTTTGTGAGATGGTGCACTAGGCAAAGTGACACTGGCCATGTGTCTGTTGAGATCCTCCTGTTCCAGCTCTTCTAATTCTGCCATTAACTCATCCTGAAAGATTAACAGACATACAGTGAGACACTCTACAACAACAGGTACATTTAATTATAATAAAAATATACGCACTCAGCAAATAATATAACAATATTTTGTAAGTTGCGATCTAGTTATGTTTGCTACTTGCCTCATCAAACTCTTCACCAATACCAATTGGTCGAGAAATGGCATCAGAAATTTCTTGTGCAACATCTTGCTGCTCATGAATATCCTGCATAAGGTCATCAATCTTATCAAGATCCCTATGAATAAAAAAAGCATACTGTCAGCAGATAAGGATCACTAAGAATACATCAATTACAGGAGATTACACTGTGCTCTAGACTAGAGAGGCTGTGTTAGGTGATGCTCTTAACCCCTTGCCAACCACTTTACACATATATGCAGCAGCAAGAAAAGGGGTCTTTAACCCCCAGGTGCAGCACATATGCATCCATTGGAGCCTGAGGTTGTGTGCTAAGACCACGCTCACTGTGCGCTCCCATCACACTAACCAAGCTGTCACTGACAGCTCTTGGTCAAAGCCTCTGATCGCGAGCAAGCACAATGGGCTCCCAATCATATAACCACTGTAAGAGCCAATCACAGCGGTCACATGACAGGGAAACCCAGTCATCAAAGCATCTTAACAGGCCACTGGGAGGTGGTGCTATGGGGCTAAAACATATCTAAATTTTCCAATTAGATTAGAGAATGGTTAAAAACTCATGTCAGCTGGTTTGCCATCTCTGTTCAACTGGAGAAATTTCCCATTACTTACAGTCCTACAGACCCAACAGGAAGTGAGGAAAAATGTCTTTAAAGTAAGGGAAATCCCCTCTTAGATAGTAAAAGTGTCCCACTAAAATGTTTCTCCTCTATTTCTGTTCTGGAATCATCTTAAAATTGTGGAATCTGACACAGCTTTAGTACTAAGTGATTGTAAAGGTATTATTTTTTTTTAAATAATAGACATACTTACCTGATCTGTTCAGTTGTTTTGCACAGTGCGGCCTGGATCCTCCTCTTCTTTGGGGCCCTCGCTGGCACTCTAGCTCCTCCGCTTCTCCAAGTGCCACCATAGCAAGTCACTTCCTATGGTGGTACACATCCGGACTCGAAACCGAGCTGGGCTATGTGTATCTATTGACAACCGCAGTCCGGCTCGGCCTCACGCTTATCCCTCCTCACTGGATTTGATTGAGAGCAGCAGGAGCCAATGGCTCCCACTGCTGCCTCCTTGTCCAGTAAGGAGAAAGAGAGCAGCACCACTGCGGCATGGTGCTGGATTGAGATCAGGCTCAGGTAAGTATTGGGGGTGGGTGAGAAAGCTAAGCATAAAATGCTTTTTACGTTAATGCAGAGAATGCATTATTGTAAAAAAAAACATAAGCCTTCACAATGACATTTAGTGCTGTGAACCTCTTGCTGCCATCCAAGAGCGTTCAAACCTGATGTGTCTAGATGCTCGTTGCCACCATCTGCCAGATAATATTCAGCACTACGTGGTCATGGTGCAGCTGCACACCTGGACTGAATCAGTAGAATTCAAATTGGTATCTGGACACTCAGCTAGGTAGGTGTTTGTATCCTGACCTGTCAGGTTGTATTTGTGAACTCTGGACCTATACTGATGTTTTCCACTTGGCTTGCACTTGGTATCTGTTTTTTTTGTCTCATCCTTAGAATCTGCCACTGGTCATATCTCACACTTCAGTTAGTTTACATTCTCTGCCTGCCTTCACCTTGTGCTTTATTGTTTCTAGCCCTGACCCTCAACCTGCCTTCTCCCTGTCTTCAAATTACCTGGTTAGAAGGGCTTAAAGTTGTTGTAAAAGCTCAAGGTTTATAAACCTTCATGCATTCTATGCATGAAAGTAAAAAACCTTCTCTGTGCAGAAGCCCCCCAGTCCAATACTCACCTAAGCCCCCTCTAGGTCCAGAGATGTGCACTGGAGTCTCAGCTAGCCCGGAACTCACTCTCCTCATTGGCTGAGACAGAAGCAGGAGCCATTGGCTCCCAATGCTGTCAGTCACAGCCAGTGAGCCAATGAGAAGAGGGGTTGGGGCTGAGCTGCAGCCCTGTGTGTGAACGCACACACGGAGCAGCGAGTGCCCCCATAGCAAGCTGCTTGCTGTGGGAGCACCCGACTGGAGGGAGGGGCCAGGAGCTCCTGCGGGGGACCTGAGAAGAGGAGGATCCAGGCTGCTCTGTGCAAAACCACTGCACACAACTGGTAAGTATAGACATGTTGTTTTTTTTTGGGTTTTTTTTTAAATAAGCCTTTAGAATCACTTTAATAGGAACACATCAGTATAGGACTATGGGATCTCCCATTGTTGAAATGTTTTGATCTGTTTTGGTCTCTCTGAAAGGACCCATTCACATGTATAGATTACAGTAGTACAAGGTAAAACCATTGTACTTAGTGGTGCTATTGAATTTAAATGCATTGTTATAGTAGCAGGCAACACAACTATACTACAACACATAGCCATGTGTTGTGATGTGTTGCATTAAAAATGGGTCATGTAAAGCAGTTAAAGTGGACCTAAACAGAAGAAATAAACATTTGCTGTCTCATAGGAACATCTAGAAATGTTAAAGCAGAACTAAACCCTCCTATCCTTTACAGCCAGGGAAGCAGCCATCTTAGCTTCTGATTGATCTGCAGTTGGCATGGTGTGCACACATGATCAGCTGTGATACCAGACATTTGATGGCTTGACAATTTGGTTGAGAACTAACATAAGCATAGTGGCAACTGTTACAATTATCATTCATGACATACTTTGAATTTAACTGTTTTGGGAAACAGTTAAAGTGATTCTATAGGTTATTTTTTTTAAATGTTTTTAAAATATCAAACATTCTATACTTACCTGCTCTGTGCTGAGGTTTTGCACAGAGCAGTCCTGATTCTGCTCTTCTTGTGTCCCCCGCCAGTGCTCCTAGCTTCCCCCCCCCTCCCACCGAGTGACCCCATAGCAAGCAAGCTGTGTGCTCACTCCTGAGTTAAACTCGGAGAGCGTAGCTTGGACCTGCCCCCCATCCCTCCTCAATGGCTGTGTTTGATAGCAATGGGAGCCAATGCCTCCCACTGCTGTGTCTCAGCCAAGGAGTAGGGAGAGACCAGGGGGAGCCTTGGCTCTCATGCACATTGCTGGATTGGGCTCAGGTGGGTATAAGAGGGAAGGGGGGGGGGGCTGTGGGGGGAAACCGCACTCAGAAGGTTTTTTACATTCATACATAAAAGGCATGAAGGTAAATAACCTTCTGCCTTTACAACCACTTTAAATAAGTGGGTTTAGTTCAGCTTACAATTTTGCCTAGGCATTACTACCTTTGGCCTTGAATTCTTTCTGAAAAATAAAGGTGCACTTCCGGGCATGTGATTGTGTCTAGGCACTCCTGTTCTGTAGCCAACCAAGTATATATCTGCAGTGTAGGATCCTCTAGGGCACTGCTGCCTCTTCTTGCCAATCTCATGAGTTACGGAGTGAGATTTGATGGGGGTTACTGTTATTGTGCTACTTCTTACCAGAGAACAAGCTTTATCTGAGGATCTGCGGTACAGGGATCTCCCTGCTTCTGCTTCATTCATTCTGTGGATTTGTGTTTTCTCAACCTTTCCTGCTGCTACTTGATCATTACCCCATCAGTCATCAGATCAGCAGCCATCAGGGGGCAGTAATGAGAAAACAAAACATTGCCCCTCTACTAAGGGGGCTACCTCCACACACAGACACAATGCAGAACAAGGCATGTGATAAATATCAGCTGCAGGGAGTCTTCAGGCAATATTGGTGACTAGTCCCTTAACCTGTGTTTTGGCTCAGCTTCAGCAGTTCATGTACCTCTTTAAAATGATGCCAAACAGTATTCTTATTCTCCAAGAGTAATTCATACACATTCACTAACGTGTAATCGATTTTTCATGAAATTATTTCTTTCTGTGCTTTTCTGCTTTCTTATGACGTCCTTCATGAGTTCCCGAACCTCTCCTTTTCCTCTCACGTCAGTTTGTTTGGAACAGGCAGTGCATGTTAGTTACAGTCCTGTGCACTGCTCTGTACACACTTTTGTGGCATCCTCCAAGGTAGGCTGTTAGGCTGGCTTGCACTGTAGTTACAGAAGCAATAATTGTTTAATATAGTCTGTCCAGTTTCATAGGCTGGGAGTTTAATTACTTCCCCTGTCTCTAGAAGAAGCTTCTGTAGCTTAGGGTGGGAGGATTCAGATCCCCAGCTTGAATATTTGGTAGGGCCTAAACAATCCCTGGGGTGGGGTGACCGGATGGTGGCTGGGTTGCTGTTAAATTGTTTGGAACCCTGAGAGTTCTTGTCTTTTTTTTCCCCCGTAGGGATGGATCTACATGTTTAAGGGAAGGGGTATTGCTTGTCTCCGGACCCTCTTTCCTGGACTGGTAGCTGGACTACTCTGCTGAAAGTTGCATCTGGATTGATCATTTCCAGGATTTGTGAATAAATCCAAACCCCTGCAATGCCATGTCTTGTGGTTACCAGCTGCAAGAATCTAGACTACTTCAGCTTACTTCTGCTACATGTGCCCATCAATTCTCCTGGTCCTCAGCTGGGATTGGATGACTGTATTGCTGACTAGAGATACAGAAGAACCCTCTGCAGTTTGTGCATTCAGCGTTTTGGAGTATCCCATACCCACTGTCCTCAGAAGTTACCAGTTACTTAGTAATGAACTTCAAAAAAAGATACCCTTGAACTGTTTATTGGCCTCAGTTGATGAAATGCTCTGCTTGGCTGCCCTGCACGGACTAGAGAAAGAACCTGTGTACATCTACAGTGGCTCCTACGGGGGTATCACAACACTACAAATCCCATAGTCCATAGTCTTTCTTGGGAGCAAACAGGAAAGAGTGGCTAACATCCTATATAGCAGCCTTTTTCAACCAGGGTGCCCAGGCACCCTGGGGTGTCTTTGGGTTTCTTCAGGGGTGCCGTGGCAAAATGCCTAAAAAGTCCCAAAAAGTGCATACAAGCCAGCAGGTTGATCAAGCCTGCCTTTTGGTTGCACAAAGCCACACATTTTCATTGTGCACCATTACAACCTTCTAGCTGCCAACATCCCAACAACCAATGATGTTATCGGTTGATAAAAAAATGTCGGACCTTCACAGAAACTTTTTTGCCCCTCCCCTCTCTATCAGCACTGGGGTCTTATTAGCTTAGCAAGGGAGAGAAACTGAGGGAGAAGAGAAACATTGGAATACTAGTCAGTACCAGT